GGCATTGTTACATTATAACAACATGCCCCAAGAATTCGGAACAACTAACCCCCGTTGACATGCGAGTGTTTATATGTGAATTATATGTTATACCATAAGAAAAACTAATTATGATGATAACTTAATTATTCTGTATATATTATTAAATGAAACAGTAAAAACTATTAATTATTATTAGCTTTAAAATATGTTAAAATAAACTAAAATTTAATGCAATGGAAAATTTTACTTACGTTCCTCGAAAATACACCTGATTAGAAATCAACACAAGTCACGCAGCTGATCTGATTGAAATAGCGGCCATATTTGCGCAGTCGCGATACATGAAACTGCGCACTAGAAACATATTTTTCTATCTACTTGTTTCAGAGATACAGTCATTGTAACAACTTATCCCTGTAACTTCTAGCCCCGGTCTCCCCTAATTAAAATGGGGGAATATTGTTATTTTTAAAAAATATTATTAAAAAAATTGGTGTACGAAACTGTCGATTTTATTTTTTAAAAAAATTCCCCAGAGATACCTGAGAAATTATATGAAGAAGTACTGTACCAAATTTCAAAACGATTAATGAAAAATACCTAGACCAACGGACGCTCAGAAACTCATAACTCTGTCAATTTTACTCCGATTGACTTAACATTTTAAAACAATATTCTGGAGATATTCTGCATTAACTTACAAATTTTTTTTTTAAATATAAATAAAATTTAAATATCTTACTCCTTAAACCTTACACCTTAAACATTTAATAGTAGGAGGCGTCAAAATGTACCTACTCTTAACTTTCATTAAATTAAAATTACACAGCCCCACAAAAAAAGAAAAGTACCCCTGCGCGAAAGCTCACAGTACCATACCCCTATGTATTTTGATGCGCTAAACACGAATCCAAAGTCAGATTTGCTCCATCACGTCAGGATTATTTTCTAACCTCAAAAAACATGTCAAATTTTATGTAATTTATGTAAAATACAAAATTTTTTAAAAATTGATTAGATTTGTCTTAAACTTGTTTCTTGGGGGTTTTTAAGATCGCTGATTACGAATCTGCAGTCACTTTTTAAAAATTCAAAATGGCGGATCCAATATGGCGGCCAAAAATTAAAAATTTGGTGGATTTTCACTTTACTTGGTATATAGGGGTTTTCGGGGTCGCTGATTACAGATTTGCAGTCAGATGTTAAAAATTCAATATGGCAATCATTTTTTTGAAAATTGATTTATTTTGCTTTAAAATGGGTACTCAGTGGTTTTTCGGATCACTGATAACAAATCTTCAATTAAATTTTGAAAAATCAATATGTCCGTTTGAAAATAATGTAATTTTTATTTATGTCTGTTTATGGTAACGGACTCGTTTGGCTTCGAAAGACCTGTGCAGTAGTTTTCTTTTTAAGTTTACTCTCCCTGGAACAATATCCCTTTTTAGCATCCAACAATAGTCAGCCATCATATTTACGTCCCATCTGCCTTGATATCTGCTCTCTATTTCATTAATATCTTGATGAAACCGTTCTCCCTGTTCCTCGCTGTAGTCTCCTAAATTTTTTGAAAAGTAACTCAGATGTGAATGTAGGAAATGGAGCTTCAAACTCATCAAGCATCCCAATTTTTGAAAGTTTTTGATCATAACATTCACTATTAGTTCCCAATTCTCGCTCTTATGGTTGCCAAGAAAGTTTTCAATAACTCCCTTAAAACTAAGCCAAATGCAGCTTTCTCTTTTTTACTCATTACTGTGATAAATTTTTTATCTTTTACTAGTTTGCGAATTCGAGGCCCAACAAAAATTCCTTCCTTTAATTTAGCATCAGATATCTCTGGAAATTTTTGTTCCAGGTACTTGAAACATTTCCCTTCTTTATCTAAAGACTTTACAAACTGTTTCATTACCCCTAGTTTAATATGTAAAGGTGTTGGAATTACCTTTGTAGGATCAACTAGAGGTTTTTTTTATAATATTTTTGGAACCTGGTGTAAAGGATGTTCTTTTGGTCCATTCTTTTTGTACGTAATGTTTTTTTTATCTCTACTGTCCCACAAACATAAAAAGCAAGGTGTTTTCGTAAAACCTGCTTGTTGGCCCAACATGATACTTATAATTTTAAAATCTCCACAAATTTGCCAATTGTGTTCTTTATATTTAATTTTCTCCAAAACTAATTTGACAGTTTCATAATCTTCTTTAAGTTCAGTGGAATGGGCTACGGGAATTGAAGCAAAAACATTAGTGTTATGAATTAGCACTGCCTTTAGACTTCTTTTAGAAGAGTCAATGAATAACCTCTAGTCTTATGTTGATCTTCATATATGTTTGGTTTCAATTCATTTATTAATCCTTCAATGTCAGAACAATATACTAATGAAAGCTCATCGTCCTTTGTAAAATATTTACGAAATCCCTTTTCTCTGTCACGATAAAAGTAAGCTGTGGTGCCTTTAGATAACAAGTTTTTCTTTTTTAAAACTGAAGCTAGATATCTAGCTGCATATTCTATTTTTGCATTTTTCTATCTAGCTGATATTCTGCTCCATTTTTGGGTAATTTCAAATCTCTGATAAGATTGCTAAGCTCTTCTTGCGTAAAGCCTTCTTTAACCTTTTCTTCCTGATAACCATCTGGAATATAAATATCATCATTGTCTTCTACAATATTACTAATCGCATCACTTATATCGGAAAGTACATACTCTAATGGTAAACTGTCGATTTCCATATTTGCAGAAGAAATAGCTAAATGACTTAAAATTTCGGGTTTTTTCACAGATACTACACATGCGTAAATTATATTTTTTTATTTTATTTTTTTTAAATTTTTTTTAAGGCTATAGCCTTTTACATTGGTCATGCAAAAGTAGCAATCTTCTCGATTCAATGGTTTTTTCCACAATGTTGGTTCTTTAAACTTCAGGTGTTTATCCTCTTTCGTATCATTCCAACGAGTTAACATTGTGTAGCAGGAACTGCAGATTGTATTTGGAACCCATTTTTCATTCTGATTGACTATCTCAAAATCAAAACAATCTTTGTAAATTTGTTTAATGTTTTCATTAATTAATTTGCGATTTTTCGGGATATAAAATTGTCCGCATACGTAACAAAATACATCTGCATTGCTGTCACATGTATGTTGTGAGGTTGACACTCCAAAAAGAACTTTTAAAGCGTTTGAAGTTTTTTTATTGTTTTGATTTTTGAAAGCCATGATATTTAGGAAAATGCCCGCACGCTAGGGATCCTGGTCCGACCGCAGGCGAGTCCACCGTCCTAGGGGTGATAACCCTCATACCTCCCTAGGCTTCACTATGAGAGCTTTCTGACTTTGACGAGGACATTATCAACTCGTCGTCGGACACACTACGGTATCATCCTCACACCCTAACGTCCCCCTGCAAGGCAGTGCGCCTTCGCTGGCTTCGTTACTTCGATAGACAGGAAGCAAATCATTCTACACATCCCATTTCGGGGCAGTTGTCATCGCCTACTACATCTATCGAAGCAGCAGGATTATTAGACCTTTTCACTTAAGGAATCTGTACTGCGCAAGCGCGGAGTATATATATAACTTCCGACAAAGTTTCGAGCACTTTTTGTACAAAATGCACAGTGCTAATAGTGAAAAGTAATTAAAAAATATTACTAATGAATGTAGAAAAAAAAAATTAGCGTGTATTAAAAATGAGCAGTATCCCTGAGAAAAATAATCCACAAAGGAAAAAAATTGATGCACAAAAAAAATATTGTTTTGGGAATTGCAAAAGTGATGCTCGTTGCAAGTCTTATTTGACTGAAAATTATTACTTTATTTCTTTCCCAAAACCGTTTAACATTTAGAAAATAAAATATTAGGAATGAAAATATTCGAAGTAATTGCAAAACTTGTCAAGTCTATCGAAAATAAGACCTTTGGGTAAGGTTATGTTCATAACATAACATAACCTTATTTACATGTAAACAATATAGACTTTTTTACCCTTTAAACACTGACTTCGGCTTTATACCCATATTTTTAGTTGACAGATACAGTACGCCGTCTGTCATGGCGTAGCTTCAACTTCCGGTCTTAAATTAAAAGGTCTATATTGTGCCAAAGCACAACGGAAATACAATACAGTATTATGTCCTAGCAGGCCTGCGTTCAAGAGAAAAGTATTCTGCAATTGTTGAATTGAACTTCATCCAGAAATTATGCCTAATTCTCTAGAAATGTTCCTAGATGTCGTCTCGATAAATACATTTTAATTTAGGCATTCAGGTTACCAAAAATCTGCATTACCTGCTGCATAAATGTTTACCAACAAACTTTTCGAAACTTTTAAATTAACCGACTCCAAAAATGCTTGCATATCAAGTCATATTGGACCAGTTGTTAGAAATTTTTAAAGTCTGATTTGAAATTTGTGATCAGCGATCCGAAAAACCAGTGAGTACCCATTTTAAAACAAAAGAAATCAATTTTCGAAAAAATGACCGCCATATTGAATTTTTAAAATCTGACTGCAAATTTGTAATCAGCGACCCCGAAAACCCCTATACATATACCAAGTAATGTGAAAATCCAACAAAATTTTTTAATTTGTCCACCATATTGGATCCGCCATTTTGAATTTTTAAAAACTGACTGCAAATTCGTAATCAGCGATCTTAAAAACCCCCGAAAAACAAGTTTGAGAAAAATCTAATCAATTTTTAAAAAATTTTGTATTTTACATAAATTACATAAAATCTGACATGTTTTTTGAGGTTAGAAAAAAATCCTGACGTGATGGAGCAAATCTGACTTTGGATTCGTGTTCAGCGCATCAAAATACATAGGGGTATAGTACTGTGGACTTTCGCGCAGGGTACTTTTATTTTTTTGTGGGGCTGTGTTATTAATAAAGTCGAAAAAAAATTTCCTATCATTTATCATAACATTTTTAAAGCAAACTAATATTAATCCTGAAGCTGTTACAAAAAAAATTTTAGTTTAAAATTATAGATACAAGATAGATACCTGAAATCATATGCCGAACCGTATATTTTTTTCATGTACTTCAATTGGCGCACCAGATTGTCTTTTCGGCAGATTGAGTTCCCTCTTGGTATTCTATTAATAAACTATATATATTTTGTTAGTTGAAAATATGTTTTTACGGTTTCCAATGGAAAACTTTGTTCAATATTAAGTATATTTTCATGTACACGATCATGTGCTTAAAATATACATGATGTCGTACGTGATCATTTTCAGAAATTGGAACATTGAAATTTTACATAAAATCGCACTTGATCATTTCTGAAAAATTTGTTTATTGTGGAACTTATACATGTTCATATATATTTTCTTGAATCAGTTTTTCTTCACTTCAAACAAAACTATATTTAAACTCTGAGGGCTGTGCAGTTGATTTTTACAAAATGATATTGTACGTATTTTTACACAGGGATTTTCAACTGGGTTAATAGTGCCAAGAATGTAGTAAGGACCAAATGTTCAACAGTTTGACCTGAACTTTGGCAGAAATTTTTAGTATAAAAACGAAATGATATGGCGTCAAAAATGTTGAACCTAAAATATAGTGACATAAAAATTAAAAAAATATTGGCGGATTAAAAATGGCGTTCAAAGTTGAATTTCATAAATAACATACAGCAAGTGCACTTTTTTTTACAACTTAGTAGATTCACTTAAAACTGGTTTCTCGTAGTTTTTAGGGCCGCTGATTACGAATATGATTCACATTTCTTGTGAGAAATGCTTCCATCTATTAATTCTCTTGGAAACAATATTTTAGCGGCTTATTTAAATTGTTGAAGTTCTCTACTTTGATTTAAAAATTTATTTTAAAGTAAAGTAATAATAATAGTAATCATATTAATTTAATAATAATAATAATACCAATGGTATCGTAATATATTACGGTAGTGAGGCTTCGTGGCTTGCGATCAACGGCCGCGGCCGGGCCGTTCCGCAACGACTACCTGCGTCGGATGGCTACCTGTTGGGCAGAAACTGCTCAGATGATAATGATACAAATACAGAAGGACGTCTATATGATGCTTTAATTACAGATTATTGGTAAAAAAATTTAAATAGTAAAATGTTTCATTTTTTCATAGGTATGTTGTTTGTATTTCAAAACTTTAAGGTACTACTACACTTTAGAAGGCTCTTAAAAGACCAAATTAAAAAAAAAAATTTCTTAGGTCTTTTATTATAAATATTTAAAAAACTTTTTTGCCTATATTAGTACATATTTGGAGAATAAAAATAATGGTTTGTTTTTAATTTTTATTTAATATCATAATCTGCAGACAGCATTCAGATCGAAACTCCAAAAAGTTAGTTGTCCAATTGCGGACAGTTTATCTCAAGATTAACAAATCGGAAACAAAAAATCCAAATTGCTTTATAAAAAGGAAGGTGTCTAGCATAGAAATCTACCACCAATAATGAAAAATCGACAAAAATAAAAAAATAGCAGATGTTTCAATAATTTGTTTAAAAATACACTATGTTTTTCAGTATTTTTCTAGTCTGCAAAAATGTTTTTTTAAAACTTTTTGACCATTTCCTGGTAAATTGTCGCACAGGACATGCTAACAAACAAAACGAGTTATCATTTATTAATATCGGTTCAGTAGATTCAGAGATAAACTGTCCGCAATTTGAGAAAACGTTATTTTGAGAAAAAGGCGTTTAAACTTATATGTATCGTTAGAGGCCATCCATAAATTACCTAAAATTCTTTTGCAAATTGAAACCCCACCATTTTTTTTATTTCAGACACTGTTACATATATTAGCACCAATGTTTCTACTGGTCGTGACAAAAAGCTGGACCCCACCATCCCCTTAAAGACTTACTTAATTTGTCAATAACTTTTTACATTAATTGAATATTTTTTGAAAAATTTACTTTTATTTTTTACAATTGGTTATAAATACTTTAGGAGGTGTTTTCTGAAGTCATAAGGAGTTAAAGAATACAAAAAAAATTAAATTTTTTTAAATTCTAAAGTGTAGTAGTACCTTAAACGCGTGTTTCTCAAAACACGTTTTTTGAAATTAGCACGCATAACTTAAACAATTGTCAATATTTTTAATCTAGTTTTTTAGTGCCACCACTGGAATTTGCATGGCAGTTTATCTCGCCGACGTCTTCTAGCGCCTTGCATGGCGCGAACATTTTCCGCTAGAATGCAACATAACCTCAAATTTTTGTTGCATAAAGTGTCAACGGTGTTTGTTTTTATTTTTAATGTAATATTGTAGCATTTAAAAACTATAATAGTAAGGGATTCTAAGTATTTATATATTTGTAATTGTATTAAATTTAAATATAAATTAATATTGTAGTATAAATTTCTTGTTAATTCTTTAATTAATACACTTATTTATAAAGGAATTTTTAATATCTGAATGTCTTATTCAACAATTGATGGATCAAGCATATTATTAATTTCTCTCCATTCGAATTAGAAAACATAACCTCAAACTGTATTTATTTTTTCTTTATTCTTAATTGACCTGACAGAAAAGTTTTACTGCTTTTTAATAGGAACTTAATTTTTGCAATTGAATTACACTGAACGACAAAGGGAAATTGAGGTGGACATGTTCTAAGCATAGGTGGCTTTTATATTTTTGGGGTCGTTGATTACGATGCCGGTGTCCGTATGACCCTATCACGTCAGCATCAAGGTCACATACCTCATTTTGCAATAGTTAATTATTTTGACCCCGGATTCGGAAAGAGCGGAAAATTTTACGTCCGAATACGTTTTGACCATTTTTATAAACCAACCTTTCAAGGTCAATTGAAGGTCATCTTGGTCCGGTGTTGGAAAAATGAAATATTTCGAATTAAGGTTTTTGACCTTGATGCTGACGTAATGAAAATTTTACGTCCGAATACGTTTTGACCATTTTTATAAACCAACCTTTCAAGGTCAATTGGACGTCATCTAGAAGGTCAAATATTAATTTCATTTTCTTGTCCGGAAATTCAGCTAGGAATGGATTTTAAAACAAATTGTTTTTTATGTTTTTGGGGTCGCTGATTACGATTCAGGTGACCATATGACTTCATTACGTCAGCATCAAGGTCAAAAACCTTAATTCGAAATATTTCATTTTTCCAACACCGGACCAAGATGACCTTCAATTGACTTTGAAAGGTTGGTTTATAAAAATGGTCAAAACGTATTCGGACGTAAAATTTTCCGCTCTTTCCGAATCCGGGGTCAAAATAATTAAATATTGCAAAATGAGGTATTTGACCTTGAGTTGACCTTGATGCTGACGTGATGGGGTCATACGGACACCGGCATCGTAATCAGCGACCCCAAAAACATAAAGGCCACCTATGCTAGGAACATGTCCACCTCAATTTCCCTTTGTGGTCCTGTGTTATTATTAGGTATTATAATAAAAGAATAGGTTAATTTCAATGTTTAACATGTGTAATTGGGGTGTTCAAAAAAATTTTTTTTTAATTCAGAGTTGCAGAATTTGTTAATCGATCCCTTTTCAAGTAAAATTCATTTTCATATATTGAAAGTTCAAATTTAGTACCTAATATTACTCTTATTAATTTTTTTTAGTGTATGAAAAATGATTTGATTTCTTATTCTATATTTATTTTTTAATCATTTTATAAATTGAAACGACTGTTCCTACTTTTAAACTTACTTATTTTACACATCTCATTTTTTACTTCCGCAATTAATAAGCATAGTTAAAGTTTTTTTTTGAATTTGGAATTCTTTTTATGTCATCTTCTACCACTTAAATTAACTTTTGCTTTTCTGTTTGTGACCTGGTTATTCTTTTGTTAAATTTGTTTAAAAAAAGAAGAGAACTATGTTTAGAATATTTTTTTTATCAAAAACTTAACTTTTCAAAAATTCTAAGGTTTAAAGTCTTTGCGCAACGATTTATTTTTATTTATTTCAATTTATCTTTAGCATACTGTTTTTTTTAACAAAAGACATCATTTAAGCCATTCTGCAACTATAAATATTAAAATTTTTTTCCAATGAGTTTTGAAAAACCCTATAAATTGTGTAACCATTTTTGACACTTACTGTAAAGAAATAAATAATTTTTTATGAAAATTTAATAATTATTTATTCTTAAAATTTACATATTTAAAAAAATTTTATACAGCTAATAATGATTAAAATTTTGATTAGGCTTGGGATTAAAAAAAGGTTACCGTTTTCTGAATTAAAATCTTACTATAACTGCAAACGAAACGTGTATTTAAAATATGTTAAAATTTCATTGTAGGCAGATAATTAGTAAATGTTTTTTATACATGTACACCATTTCTTAATTATATTCGTCAAATGAAACGACAGAAGATTAATTAAGTGACTATTTCACTGCAACGGTTTTTGGGGTCGCCGATTACGAAGCTGAGGTCATTTTGAAAAAATTGAAGATGGCTAATCCAATATGGCGGACATAAAAAATAAAAAGTGGTTTAATTGGATTAAAACTCGGTACTTGGGGGGTTTTTGGGGTCGCTGATTACGAATTTGAGGTAATTTTGAAAAAATTCAAAATGGCGGATCCAATATGGCGGACATAAAAAATAAAAATTCCTTCAATTGTACTAAAACTTGGGACTCGGGGGTTTTTGGGGTCGCTGATTATGAATTTGAGGTAATTTTGAAAAAATTCGAAATGGCGGATCCAATATGGCGGACATAAAAAATAAAAATTCGTTCAATTGGACTAAAACTCGATACTCGGGGGTTTTTGGGGTCGCTGATTACGAATTTGACGTCGTTTTGAAAAATTTAAAATATCCGATCCAATGTGGCGGACATAAGAAATAAAAAGTCGTTCAATTGGATTGAAACTGGGTACTCGGAGGTTTTTGGTGTCGAGTTCTAACGGCGAGGACGTGACAATATTTTATTTCCATTTTTCTTGTTTTTATTTTTTTTTGTATTTTTTGTTTTTTATTTTTTACATTTTTCTTTGTTTGTAGTCTGTTTTCGATGTTCCATGTTAAACCTAAGAAGGATCTTTTAGTTAACAACCTTTTCGTCCATCCAC